AAGACCACATATACAAAGCTCTCAAGTTTGATAACAAGAGAATAAAACAGCACAGAAAATTGTACTGCTGGAGATTACCACCCCCTTTGTAATATCCCCAGACACAAACCCTTGAAGAGCATATTAACAATTCCACATTGCGTGTCACTTTTGCTCTTTAATGTGTTTGGGGGTTATGGTGGATGAGAACTGATGTGCATAAATATTCTCCTTCCTACATGCTGTCTGCACCTATGTAACAAAGTTTTGATACCACTGACAATAGGAATGACTACATTGTGAAGACATGAGGCACAATGGTTCCTTCATAAAGGCTTATGCAATGCATGGAGGACTTTTAGAACTTAGATATGGTCCAGTCCAACCACTTAACCAATGACACATTGTTGGAAGAATTAAGAATCAAGGTTCTCAATTTCAGTTCAATGATATTTTCACTACCCTAGACCAATTACCCATGGATTTAAAGAGATGAAATTTTCTTCTCTGTCCTTTATTCTCATCGCTAATTACCACTACACCTATACCTTACCTCAATCCATTCAATCTTTTAGCTTGGAGATTATTCGAGTAAGATCACTTACACCAAATATTTATTTAGCAAATGCTTTGCTGTCTATCCCACCTTTTCAGAGGCTCCCTTTTTTAAAAAATTTTTTTTGATATTTATTTTTGAGTGGGAGAGAGACAGAACACAAGCTGGGGAGGGCAAAGAGAGATGGAGACACAGAATCTGAAGCGGGCTCCAGGCTCCAAGCTGTCAGCACAGAGCCCAATGTGGGGCTCAAACTCAGATCATGACCTGGGTTGAAGTGGGAGACTTAACCGACTGAGCCACCAAGGCACCCCTGAGCGGCATCCTTGAATTTTAGTTTCATGGTATAAACCATTCAGTTATTTCTCTCTCATGGTCCTCTCATCTTCCTACTTACCGTGGATGCTCCCCAAGACCCTACCTCCCACCCTGCTCTTCAAATGACAACCTTTCTGTGACTGGTTCTTGTAACTTTAGCCCCAACCTCTCTAAGCTCCAGATTCACATGTCCAGGTATTTCTTGAATATTTATATATTTTATGTTTCTATGTCCTCAAACTCAGTATGTCCAAACTCTGTTTCCTTCCAAGTATTTTACTCAATTTCCTATGATTATCATCACTTTTCCATTCATTCTGACTCCTCTTCCACCTTCACCTAGTCCTACTGATTTTTTAAAAATTCTCTGTGGTCGCTTTTGAACTCATTTTTCTTTCGGTTCCCACAAATACCACAATAAAGTAGGTTTTTGTCAGCCTTTCAGTCTCCCCTCTTCAACTCATCTCTTTCCTTTTTTTTTTTTTTTTTTTTTTTTAAAGTAAGCTCTACACCCAACCTGGGGGCTTCATCTCACAACTTTGAGATCAAGAGTCTCATGTTCTATCAACTGAGACAGGTGTCTGTCATCTTCCTTTTTTCTTAAATGTCTATTCCATAATGCTAATCTGTTGTTCAAAATGTCTTTCACTTTTCTTAGCTGGGACTTTCTTCTCCAGCCAGTTGGCATCTCAGTATTCTCCCTTTCTACTTTCTCATCCCTCCACCTGCACACAATAAACCCCACTGCTAGAGTATACATCTTCCTAATTACCATATGTTCAAACCCTGACTGTCTTCAATGGTAGTTCAAGTCTCTTCAATGAAGCTTTCTGTTACTGTTCTTGAATCTACTATCTATACACCACTCTATTCAGTACTCAAATGCCAATTGCTTTGTACCTTAACTCTGTGTTTGTCTTCCTGGTATGGCTGTAGGAAAGATCTTACATATCTTTGCTGCTTCTGCAACTATCCCAATAATATATTACATTACCAAGAAAATGAGGCATGGTAGTTAAGAAAACATAACTAGGAAGTAGAAAATTCCAACTTTAGATCCTGGCTTTGCTCCTTTTTAAGTGAGTGACCTTGGGCAAGTTACTTAACCTCTACAAGCTTTCCTATCTATACAACAGGGATAATGCCACCTATTTCATAGGGTTGTTGTGAAGTTGAACAGAATGTGTATGTATGTGTATGTACAAACAAACACAATGTTTGACACAGTATCTGGTCCATAGTGAGTGCTTTTTAAACAGATGGCTATAATGATTTTGCACACAACAGGCACTCCTCTTTGGTCAATATTTTAAACTGCATAATCTACAGATTCAGTGTAATCCCTGTCAGAATTCCAATGCTATTTTTCACAGAAATAAGAACAAACAATTCTGAAATTTCTGTGGAACCACAGAAGACCCTAAAAAGCCAAAGCAATCTTGAGAAAGAAGAACAAACCTCGAGTCATCATGCTCCCTGCTTTCAAACTATTGACAAAGCTATAGTAATCAAAACACTATGGTACTGGCATGAAAACAGACACACAGATCAAATGAAGAGAATAAAGAGCTTAAATAAACCAATCCATATATGGTCAATTAATGTACAACAAAGAATATACAATGAAGAAAAGATGATCTCCTCAATAAATGGTGCTGGAAATACTAGACAGCTGCATGCAAAAGAAACTAGATCACTTTCTTACATCATACACAAAATTCAATTCAAAACAGATTAAAGACTTGACTGTAAGGCCTGAAACACCATAAAATTCCTAGAAGAAAATATAGGCAGTAACTCCCTTGACATTGGTATTGGCAATGATTTTTTGGATATAATACCAAAAGCAAAAGCAACAAAAGCAAAAATCATTAAGTGGAACTGTTAAATTAAAAACCTTCTGCATAGCAAAGGGAAACCAACAAAATGAAAAGGCAACTTACTGAATATGAGAAAATATTTACAGTCATATATCTGATAAATATTTATAAGTCACATATCTACCAAAATATATTAAGAACTCATACATCTCAACAGCAAAAAACCAAACAATCCAACTAAAAGTGGGCAGAAGACCTGAATAGTAAGACAAACAGATGGTCAACAGGTAATTGAAAAGATGCTCAACATCACTAATCGTCAGGGAAATGCAAATCAAAACCACAGTGAGATATTACCTCATACCTCTCAGAACAGCTATCATCAAAAAAAAAAACCCCAAAAAACCAAGAAATAACAAATGTTGAGAGGATATAGAGAATAGGGCACTGTTGTGCACTGCTCACGGAAATGTAAATTGGCATAGCCACTTTGGAAAACAGTATGGAGGTACCTCAAAAGATTAAAAATAGAACTACCATATGATCCAACAATTCCATTTCTGGGTATTTATCCAGAGAACACAAAAACACTAAAAGATATGTGCACCCCTAAGTTCACTGCAGCATTATTTACAATAGCCAAGATATGGAAATAACTTACGTGCCCACTGATGGATGAATGGCTAAAATAGATGTGGTATCTACATGCAATGGAATACTGCTTTGCCATAAAAAAGAATGAGATCTTGCCATCCGTGACAACATGGATGGAATTTGAAGCATTTTACTAAGTGAAATCAATCAGATAAAGAGAAATAGCATGGGATCTCACATATACGTGTAATTGAAAAACAATAACAGCAACAACAAAAAACAAGCTCATAGATACATAGAACAGATTGGTGGTTGCTAGAGGTGAGAAATTCGGGGGTGGGAACAACAGGTAAAGGGAGTCAAAAGGTACAAATTTCCAGGGCACCTGGATGGCTCAGCCACTTAAGCATCTGACACTGGGTTTCAGCTCAGGTCATGATCTTGTGGTTTGTGAGTTTGCGCCCCACATCAGGCTCTGCGTTGACAAGGCAGAGCCTGCTTGGGATTCTCTCTCTCCCTCTCTCTCTGTCCTACCCCTGCTCACACTCTCTCTCAAAATAAACTTAAAAAACAAAAAGGTACAAACTTCCAGTTATAAAATAAATATGTCATGGGATGTACTATACAGCATGGTGACTACTGGATATATGAACAGTTGCTAAGAGAGCAAATCTTAAAAGTCCACAACACACAAAAAAAAATTCTGTCACTATAGATGGTGATGGATGTTAACTAGACTTATTGTGGTGATCATTTTTCAATATATGTATACAAATATCAAATCATTAGGTTATACACCTGAAACTAATGTAACATTGTCTGTCAATTATACCTCAATAAAGAAGTTTTAAATAAAAAACGGCAAAGGTCATGTTAAATCTTTTTAACATGCTTCAAGATTCCATTTCACATGAAGTTTTTACACTACCAATCACTGTATTTAGTCAAAAACTACTTTTTTAAGCTATATTCCAGAACAGTAGGAAAGGCAACTTTCAACTTGCAAGCTGTGTGCATAGATGCTAAGGCCTGGTGTATAAAACTCTGAAAGATCAGTTTCATCCATGTACATAATCCAGCATAATTTTCGGCAATTACCATTTCAATAATGCAGTTAAAGCACAACTAGAGAATCTTTGGGAAGGCTAGAAAAATTTCCAGAAAGCCAAACCAATGGATAAAGACTTTAACAGATAGGATTACTAGAGCCTGTCAAAAACTAGGACTCAGTGATCAGCAACCACAGCTTGCTTTTTGTGTTAAGAAGGGCATGCATGACCTTTTCTTCAACTAACAAGGCAATTACCCACTCTGATTAGTGGCTTTAGAGAACAATGAAAATGTTGCAACCTAGTACATTAGAAACCAACCTTTTGTTGGTTGAGGTAGTTCTTTTTTTTTTTTCTAATGAAACCTGTCGTCTTTTCTCCTTTGTGCAACAGGTCACAACATTCCCTAGGTTAAGTCATACTGTATTTTAAAAATCAACTATCACGCCTCCACTAAGGTTCCAGGAACTTTCCACTAGGAATATGTATGATCTTGCTGGAGAAGTTGCATTGAGGGTAGTAAGTCAAAGTCATGTCTCCTTTTGCCTTGATGTGGGCCTCCCACATCGATGTGCAACCACAGAGCAAGTGTCTTTCTGCACTACTACCCAAACTGCCTCCCTTTGAAGACCCTGGCCCTCATTATTTTCTGCACCCTTAGGCAGGGAAACTGCAAGGCCTTACCGCAGACGTTAGACGAGCAAGAATTTCATCACTGCTTTCTTCTGAGTCTTCAATTTTCTGATGAGACCTGTGAAAAACCAAGAACAATTTACTCTAAGCTCAAATTTATCTACCAAGTTATGGAGAACACATGACAAATAAGGACATTATTGTATAATACATTAGTGAAAGTACCCATGCAAATAACGTGGTGTCAATAATGCCCGGGGACACAACTCTGTTGCAGCCCAACTGTTCCTTCAAACTCAATTAGCAAGAACCTCTTTATAATATACCAATTAAACCCCGAGGATAGAGTACATGTTTCCTAATGATATCACAGAATAGTCCTGACATGATAGATTTACAAATGTGGGCATGCACGAAGCATATGCAGATGTGAAAGGGAGGTGGTTAGGTACTGAAGTTCCCTCCTAGTCTAAATCCAGATTTTGAAAATCTGAAACATGCATTTCCCACTACATTTGAGTTTCACCCAAAACAGATTTGTTTTGAAATGGTCTATTACAGACTTAATACTGTGACAGGAATTATGTGGAATACAATAGCAGCAGAAGTACAGCACTCTTTTTTAATATACCCAAGCCCAGTTGAGAAGCCAAGAAAAATATGCATATGTAAATAACTAAAGAGACATACAACATACGATATAGTACAAGATCAGTTTGTTTAGGAAAACCACCTTTGCAAGGTAATTTGTGAAAACATTTTCACCACATAAATGTATATACTAACATATAAAATTACCTACTCCTTTTTTAACTGAAGTATATTTGACACAATATTACGCCAGTTTCAGGTGTACTAAAATTATCTACTTAAAGCAAACTTTATAAAATGAAATTTTTTCTTCCTGTTTGGTCAAAGAAAAAAATTAATGCCAACTGAATATATGTAATTGTCTCCCAGATCTATTTCCACAGCAATCCCTTTCACCACGTTCTGTGGATTTGGAGGGATTGGTGGTAATTGCCCTGCAGGGCAGTGTTATCAGAACGGCAATCCAATGATTGATTTCAATCTTGAAAACTGCAGTGGGCCAGCCTAAGCACTTGCCTCACAGGGCAGGAGGGCTAAGGAGAAGCTCTTTAAGAAGGGAAAAGCGAGTCGGATCAATTCTGGCATTGGCTTCCTGTTTCTACGTTTTTAAAACCTTTTACAGGAAAAAAAAAAACTCTCTAAATCAGAGCAGTGAATGAAAAACTACCACCTTTACAAGAACTGCATGATACAGGTACGAAGTGGTGTTGATGTTGTCAAGTAACTTAATTACCTGTGCTGCAAAGTGTTTGAAATGTTAGCTAATAACCTGCCTACTAAAAACAGTAGGAACTGAGCATTCTAACTTCCCTTACTCCCAAAAAAGCAAGTTACCCTGATAATGAATACCTGGAACAATGAACTCCATTATTAAAATGATCTATTCACAAGGTTTCCATATACACGAAGTTATACTGAGAAGAGACTCGTAACCCTTTATAACCTAAGCCAACAAACCAGGTTTCTATGATTACGCTGAGGTGACTGAACATATGTGACAGGAAATTAAGAGCCAAACGCACTGGGCACAAGAGCACCAAGCAAGGGCTTCGGCACTCGTCTACACCTGCAGTGAAGCAGGGGCTGGTCATGCCAGCTCACGTTTCTCAGACCCCAGCACATAGCTCAATGATTAGTTCACAGGCATGAGGTATTTTGCACCAGCACAGATTCCGTCATGAAGGTGTTTTCAACAAACTTTTGAAAGGAACTCAAAATTCCAAGGCAAGTTCTTATGTGTGTGACTGATAATGGCTGTTTCATGAGTAATGGCTGAGCCATTGCCGGCTTATTGACAAATAATCGAGTCCCTGTTCAGGAGCAGAACTACCTATCGTCATTCTTCCAGCACAAAACATACCTTGGCAAAATGAGGTTTGTTTGTTTATTTCTTAATGTCTATTTATTTATTTTTGAGAAAGAAAGAAAGAGAGAGAGGCAGAGAGAGAGAGAAAGAGAGAGAGAGAGAGAGAGCGAGACAGAGACAGAGAATCCAAAACAGGCTCTGTGTTGTCAGGGCAGAGCCCGATGCGGGACTTAAACTCACAAACCATGAGATCATGACCTGAGCTGTGACCAAAAGTCACTTAACTAACTGAGCCACCTGGGGGCCCCCGACAAAAATTGTTTAAGAAATATGTGTGGGAAATATGTGTAAGAAAGACAGATAGATGACCTCCCAAGAACTGTCCTGCAGCCCTAATCCCATTGTTATCACCACAACACCACGATTTGTGACCAGAGCTCCCAAGTCTTTCTCCAGCCCCTGTACCTCCTGTGAGCTCACCTTTTTTTATCATCTGCCTTCCAAGGGGCAGTGGGAAGCAATTCCAGGAACCTTATTTTCACCCACTTGGGGATCTTACAGGCTCCTTGAAGTCAACATAACTTCCATTGTACTTCTATTGCCTCTTGCCTTCACTGGTTCTACAAGCACCTCTCACAACTCAGCTCCATGCTCACTCTGTGGCCATTCCCTCTGTTTCCTTCAGTTCCCCCCCTGTTAAGCCTCACTGACAAGGGAAGTAGAAGCCCTCTACTTCTCTTGCACAAACTTTTCTTATCTTCTAGCCAACTTTTTTTGTCTCTGGCTTCTCCTCTTGTGCCCAATCTGCTATAGATACTGGGATTATCTTTCTATAACTCAGACCTGGTCCTGCTCTTCTTAGAGTCCAAACCAGGGATTACCCCACTGCCTACTGAAAGCTCTAGAATTCAGAAATACTCTTCCTTTCATGCTAATCGGCCCCATCCCCCCACCACCTCCTATACCATCAGGCACCTGCATCTGACATGGCACAGAGAAAGGTCTTAGGAGCAGGTCTGGTAGTAACAGGCCAACAGTGGAAGAGCTTAGAAAGAGGGAAGGGTAAAATCAAATTAAAAAAAAAAGGAAAAAAAGAAAAAAAGAAGAAAGAGGGAATGGTAACACCTAACCACTCTCCTTCCTCACCACTTCCTCTCATTCCTCACCACTATGTTCCCTCCCCAGCTCTATGCCAAAATGCCCAGAAATACCAGACTCTCTTTGCCTAGCAAATGTATTTTTATGAAATAAGACAAATTCTGATTTTACGTGTGTAAATACAGGTTAGTGCAACCCAGTGAGGGCAAAGTTCTCACACATCAAATCAAAACAGATAATGAAACAGGGAAAGGGAGAATAAAGAAAAGAATCTACTGTAATACTTGTACAGTTTCCCATTATTATGAAAAGCGATCAGTGTACAGAAGAGGAAGAGAGAAGCTCTGTGTGGTTTGTCAGTGCTTAGAGATGGGAAGCAAAGAAACCCTGGCTAGAATCAGCAGGTAATGGCAGTGACAAGTGACAGGAGACAGAAAGAGAAAGGGAGTGACCCCAGGAAGGAAGACCCATCCCAGAGTGCTTGGGCCAGCAGGAAGCTAGGGCCCATCACGCACTACAAATTTATGAATTCCCATGGCTGCTTCTCAACGTTGCTGCTTACCAACAACTTAAGCCAGGCCCAGTAATTCTCCAACAGAAAGTACTGAGTCCTGCTACTGTGGGCAGATGTCCTCAGAAGTTTTAGAGGTCTGCAGTATCTAAGGGTGCCAAGATGAGGACACAGGAATAGCAAAAGCTGCCTTTGTCCCTTTAACCATCCAACAGAACACATGATCATTCTACCCAGTCCCCACCGAAAACAAAACAAAACCAATCCAATCCCTGCCCTCTCTACAATCTTCCTCACCTTAATCAATGACAACCCCATCCCCCCAGCTGTAAGTCATGCTTGATCCCTGCTCTCTTGTACTCCACACTGTAGGCATCCTAAAATCCCACTGGCTCTATCTTCAAGGTGTACCTCCCATTTGACCACTTCTTACCACCTCTATCACCACCACCTCTGTTGTCCCAGGCACCAGATCTCTTACCCACACCCAGGAGCCAGAGTGATCATGTTAATATGTAAATTAGATCATGTTCCTCTTCTGCTCAAAATCCTCCAATGACTCTCCATGTCCCTCAGTATAACACACAAGTCTTGACATTGGCTGACACTTCTCCCTCTCTTCACACTTGCTTTGCCTTCAATGCTTCCGCCTTAGACCTCTGCACTGGCTACCCTGTAGAATCTTTGCACTGTTCCCCTAGAACACTTCCCTCAGATATCACCTCACGTATGCCTTCACATCCTCGAGGTCTCTCAGCTTCTTGAAGAGGCCTTTCCTGACCCATATCGATATCCCTCATTTCTTACTTTATGTATCTTCATAAAGTTTTCTACCTCTAACCACATAAATCTGTTTATTTATGAAATGTCTGTCCTCCCCTACTAGACTATAGGCTCCATGGGAATACAGACTTCTGTTTTGTTCACGGTGACATCCCCCAACACTTAGAACACAACCTAGTACCTAAGAGGTATTCCGTATATAACTGTTGAATAAATGAACTGAGTACCAGCAACTTCAAGAAAGGCTCTGCTACGAATCACCATCCTGGGACAACTGCTGCACAAGGTATTAGCTTGTTATCTATGGTTGGTGCAGCTGAAGAACCCTGCTTATACTGAAGAACACTTTCCCTTAGCTGCTCCATCATTCTCCCAGCTCCCTGCAGCAATTCTGTCTTTCAGTGACCTGCTATTCATTCAAATTCAACAATGACTTTCTTAATTCAAATACCAAAGATCTAGTGACTCTGAAAATCTCTTAAGTGAAGTAATAGCAATAAAGGTGAGGATCACCCCCACCTCCTCATCTTCCTATAACAAATAATTGGTGTAGACTTAGTGACAGTTTCCAACCCAGCCAACTATTTGACAATCATTTGCACAATTCATCCTGCAGTAGCAAAGAACAGGAAGTCTCCACCCAAGAATGTCTCCCAACACAAACTCTCAGCTCTGAGGGTTACATAGTCACCACGTGTTGAGTTCCAATAAAGAGTCTTAGGAGGGATCACACAGGGCCTGTTATCTGGGCAATGGAATTTGTTTTATACCAGTCAGGCTTAAGATAATTTCTAACAACTTGGATTTAACTGGTACCTGTGCAGGACTT